AGGTCACGGGTTTGAGCACCAGCGATTACAACACAATGATTAAGCGTTCATTGTTAAATAGTTGAGAATATTTAGAATAGATACTACTTTGTAATAACTTTAGCTTAATAAAAAATGAATTTTATATTTGAAATTAAAAAATTAAGAGTTAATGTAATATAGGAGAGACATGACACATGAGATGGCAAAGGGGTTTATATGATGAGTTTTTATTGCACATTAATTTGTTAGGTTTTAATTATGTCTATGATACATTTTTGCCTTGATGATCTTTATCGTGTTGGTTTTATTGTATGTATACATAGATTTCTCTCTCTCTATATATATATATATTGCATGAACCAAATAACTTCAGTAGTTAAAGATATTATTATTATTCTTAACAATTTTAGGTTCAAGCACTAGCGACTATAAGATATGAATTGTCAAATGATTGAGAGACTATAAAAGATTGATTTAATCTAAACCATGATTTAATTCAATTAAAAGATGCATTACACTTAAACTTAATTAAATCTAAATTACCGATATATTTATCTAAATTTAGATTACACAAAATAAATAACCTAATATTTTAAATAAAATCTAAATTAATAATAATAAGCCTTGAAATTGATATAATTAAACAATTCCACAAAATCATAATACTTATTTGTTTAAATAAACAAATTAATTAATTTGTGAGTACCTCACTTTCAAGCACAAATATGATGTCCACCTAACTTTGCAAGGTTGGCATGTGAGATGAGAGGCACCACCACCAATGATTATGATCCCCATGAATAATAGGCCCCATAGTACAAAGTTAACGATATATGATTGGAAGTAGAATAAATAGTTGTTTAAATTTCTATTTCATTTTTATTTTTCAGTTAAGTTCATTGAAAAAATTGAGATAAAAATTAGTAAAAAAATATAAGCACTTAGAAACAAAAAAAAAACATTAACTAATTATATAATGCTCTTTTTTATTAACTCAGCTTTGATGGACTCTGCTCCACAACACATTTACTACTTAAATTTACTTCTTCATTAAAAGATTATAAATAATATAAAAGTAAATTGTTTTTATATAACATTAATTATAATTTATAAGAGATGATGTTTCAATATTGTTTCAAGTAAATCGGTGACACCAACTTATATATAGATATATTTGTTCGTCAATTTAAAGCATTATTTTACTTAAAAATCCAATATCTGTATAATTTAAGAATTTTATTTTTATTCATATTACTTGGTTAATTAAGAAATGATTCTTTAAACTATGTTTAGAGGTATCAATATAAAATTAAGTGTTCAGACTATATTTTTCCACTTAGGTGATTAAATTATTTTTCGATTAATTCAGGTGTTTAACATTTCTTACGTTATACTTTTAGGTGTCTGGTTCTTCACGGTCATTAAATGTCAATGTTAAATGACACGTATCTCCTTTATAAAATTTTAAAAATTTCAATTTTAAAATCTTTTAAATCCTTAATTTCAGTCCTTTTGTCATCACTGTCGCCACCAACACCATCAATCAGCTGAACACCCAACAGTGTGTGATCGACCAACCACCCACAACCAAAACCCCATACTTTCGTAACGACTCGAACACCCAACAACAGTGTAAATGCAAGATTTCACTTTAAAAGTTCAAATCCATGAAAATTTCTTAAATCCCTTTGATTTGCCGTGGTAGTCGGTCGTTTGCAGACTATTTTGTAGTTTGATCGGTTGTGACAGTCAATTGTTTGATTGGCTTTGGTCGTTTGGAAAGTTGCAGAAAGAACACCGAGGGGGGAGGACACGAGTTGGGGCAGTTTTTAATAATATTTTTTTAAAAAATAAAAATTTTATAAATGTTACACGTGTCATTTAACGGTAAAATTTAACGATGGTAATGATCCAAACATCTAAAATATAATGTTGGAAACATTAAATATTTGAATTAACCGAAAAATAATTTAAACACCTAAATAAATTCGTACAATTATTTTTATATTAAGCATGCTTAATGTGATTTCTTTTTCTTTGGACTAAGAAAATCAACATCTCAGCTATTAATGGTGGGTTTTTTGACCTAATACCCTAGGTGGGTAAAAAAATTAGGGTATTGGGCATACTCAAATTTTATTTAGCAAATTACGACATTTGCTACAGTGCCATTATTTAATTTGCGTTATAATGACTCGTCACGCCGACATAGCGAGTCCATTAAAAATATTTTTAAATATTTTAAAAAAAATAATATTTATAAAATAAAAAATCGATGGAACTCGTCACATTGAGGTAACAAGTTCCTTCGAATTCAAAAAAATAGTCGTTGTTCAATGGGAAGAGGGGCAACAACGGTCAATGGAACTCGTCACATCGAGGTGACGATGTGACGAGTTCGGCAAGCCATTTTAAAAAACTAGTCGTTTATAATTGTTGGGGGTAAGACTATAAATAGGGGTTTAGGATTTTGGCATTTCACCAACCCCTGAATCCAAAAAAATTGAAAAACAAAATATACGTTGTGTGAAAATCTCAAAAAATGGTAACCTGAGACTATATGTTGCGCTTGGATAATGTCCATGTTTCGTCGATCCAACACGACAAACAACGAATGGAGTATTCTTAGTCGGGGGATGACAACCAAAGAGTCGCATCAGCAGATGATGGTATATCTGCATCAATCCGATCTATTTCGGCCATATTTTTACGTGACTTCAAGGTGCATCCGGCGTTGATCGAGACTCTGATCGAATACTGGCGTCTCGAGATGCACACGTTCCACTTCTCGAGTGGAGAAGCGACAATTACTCTGGAAGACGTCGCTTACCAACTCGATGTTCAGGTGAATGGAGCTCCCATTGTGAGTCATAAATCTTACGACCCCACGACGTTGATCCTCCAAGTCTTGGGAAAATATCCACCATCCGACTTCATGAGGGGTTATCGGGTAATGATAACATGGCTGGAGTCCGAATTCCAAGTCACAGACAAGTCTACCGAGGAGGATTTTGTTTTCGCATCCCCAGCATTTCTTCTCCAAGTGATCGGATGGATATTATTACTAGACAAATCCGGTAATTTGGCGCACACCCAATATCTACGATATTTGGAAGACTTCACTGTGTGCTGGAATACCAGTTAGGGTTCGACGATTTTAGTCTTTCTTTAGCGGGAGCTTTGCAAGGCTGCAATTGTCCAGCGTAGTCGAAAAGCCGATGTAGCAAGCTGTCTGTTAATGCTACAATCATGGGCCTGGTATCGCTTACCATTTTTACGCCGATTACAGACGTTCTAGTAGAGTTTTCGTTGGCTGCAAGGTAATTGTTTAACTTCATTTATTTAACCTTTTTTATCTCAAAATTTTATTTATTTTGTGTTTATAATTTTTTATTTTTTATTATTTTAGATGGCGTAATAAAATACCAGAGATGAAGTTGGCGGATGCCAATGCACGAGACATACGGATGAGGATCGACAACGCCGGTCGATTCGCAGTATGACATACGCTATTTTTTTAATCTTTTTAACTTTATATATACTAACTTTGATATTTAATATTTATAGTTATCTTGGCTTTCATATGTCGACGAGGAGATCTACCATGTATTGTTTGCGGGATTTTTAGAGTGGCCCCACTTCTGGTGTGTCGTGACATCATTATTGCACGAAGCAATTGTTCAGTGGAATGCGGTTGATAGAGTGATGTTCCAGTTTACGACGCATTAGTCGATTCCTAAGAAAATCGCGGTTAATATGGACGCGCTCCACACAATCAATACATGTGGGAAACATGATGAAAATTGGTCGGCATGACACGCTTACTATATTAACCTATGGAATCAACTAGACTATTATTCCCCTATCGTCAGGACATTACACCGCTGGACTTAGATTTCAATCATTCTCACTATCTTTGATTTTAAGAACAAAATGGCAAATCATATCTCACGACATCAGAAGAGAGGACAGAGTGGAAACATCATCAGACCACACGTGCCAAGTCCAAGTCAAAGAAGAAAGCATCGTAGTACACTCGATCGAATTGGGTTGGAGGTTCATGGGACCATATCCTATATGGTCACCAAAGCCAAGTCGAAGCAGTTACGACGATGATGGTGTCAAATTTCATAAATCCATTAGCGTCTTTCGAAGGTAGATTGCAGAGTGTGTTGGGTACACCTTCTTAGCAAGAAGATGATGACGATCAAGGCCTACGACTCCGACATACTCGACGAGCCCGGCGACATTATCATTCGACCACTCCGCGACATCGTCAAGAACTTAGAAAACATAGATAAATTGATTTTTACTTCGTAATTTTCATGTAAAAATTTATTTTTTTACATTTATTTATTTACTTTGTATTTCGTAAAAATTAAATAAATTGATTTTTCTTTTAATTTTATTTTTTTAAAATTATCCCCAGCTGAACTCGTCACCTCGAGTTGACGAGTTCACTTGGTCGTTACTGCCCATTGTCCAACGAGTTGTTTTTTATTTGAAGGAACTCGTCACCTTAACATGACAAATTTCATCGATTTTTTTTATTTATAAATATTATTTCTTAAAAAATTTTAAAAATATATTTTTAATAGACTTGTCACGCCGTGATGAGTCATTATAACCCAAATTAAATAATGACACTGTAGCAAATATCGTATTTTGCTCAATAAAATTCGGGAGTCCCACTATCCTAAATTTTTTACCTACGTGGGGTACTGGGAAAAAAAAAACCATTAATGGTGTCGTAATGAAATTGCATTGAGCGGCCTATTTGCTTTATGGCCTCCGAATAAAGGCCTGGTTTGGTACGAAATCCATTGAACAACCGGATTTGATCAAAATATCTAGTTCATCAACAAGGAAGAATTTAAGACGTCAATTATTATCGGTTTATCTCTGGCCACAAAAGGAAGGTTAAGTGCTTAATTATGTTATCAATCCTATTTTTTCCGAAAATGCTCATGTTTGATATTGATATTGAATTTATATCTAAAAATAGACATAATGACCTGCTGAAAGATTCACTCACCAAAATCAAGTGTGTGACTCGAGTCGATCCAAATTAATCAAAGCGAAACTTTGTAACTTGACGACAACAAAAAAAACATAAAGATGTGATCTTTAAAGCATACAAAAAAATATTTGAAAGTAAGATAAATACTCGTATTAGACACATACTTGTCTTTTGACGCTCGTTAGAACCTATAATTAATTAGAAGCTTTTTGGCGCTGGTGTAATTCTTAGCCCTCTCCTTGTCCGAGGAACAAAACGACCGTACCTCCTAGACTTGTTTATTTTCATCTTGACACCGGGCACTTTGTGAGCCAACGACTGCCATATCATTTGAATCGCATCCCCTTCCTTGGAGGGATACTGAAACTCAAACAGAGGCTCGACTTGTTTCAATGTCTCCCACATTCGAGTCCATTTGTCCTTCGTGATGCTCCGGATCCGGTTTATGAGGAACCCTTTCTTCATGGCGTCCGAAGCACGGACGAATATGCAGAATTCGGAGTAGTCGAGAATGTCTTCGTAAGGGAGCTCGATCTCGTCGCTGATAATGACCGGAACACAATGACTAGCAATGGCATCGAAAAGGCGGTTCGATGACGGGGTGTCGCCGGCAATGTTTAGGCAGAATTTGGATGAATGCATGCCTTCACTTGCCTTGCGAATTCCATTATTTTGGACACTCCCGAATGAGAAGTGTACGTCTTTTTCATCTTTTAGAAGATAAAACAACTCTTGCCTAGCAAATCCACCCTGCAATCAAGAAAAACAAGAACTAAAAACAGGGCACAAGTGTTCGATACAAATATTGAATACGATGTTCAGATAAGGAACACATACATCTTTCCTGTATATGGCACCTTGGAAGAACAGCAACGTTTTCCGGCTATCGAAATCAGATGAATCATTGACATAACGTTTGATCAAATGTTTGTAAGGCGCAATCACATCTTTCTCGACGTTGGCTATATTGATGGGATACCTTCCGAAATCAGAAAGAACGAAAATTGCAGGCCAGAGTTGCATCCTGGCATCAAGCATACTATTAGGATGATGAGCCAGAACCACATGATTTCTCCCACCTGAAACTTTCCATTCCTTTTGATTCCTCAAAAACTTGACCAATTTGGTTTGCAATTCCGTGTTCTTGCTCTTCTTACTTGGGGGAATCACCTTCGAATGCCGATTGTAACTCAAGAATGAAAAGAATGGCACGAATATCAAATCAGCTTCACTGGAATTTTTTACCCAGATGGCTTGTCGGGTGTTTGGATTTTCGGAAAATTCTGAAGCTAAGAGGTCCAATGTCAGCCAGTATTCTATGCTGTGTTGTGAATTCAATGCACCTGGATATGATGGGATTGTTGTTCTAATATCAGGCCAAATTTGGTTTCCTTGGGGTTTCCAACCCAATAATCCGAAGTGAAACTCAGGGTCTAAATCATACATGTAAATCTTCAATGGCTCTTTCAAATTCCCATTGCAACTCAATTTGAACCCTCCTTCCTCCCTCCCGTTATCCACGGGAATCGCTCGGTTGGATCTGTCTGAAGATTCGACGTTGCTTTGATTAGATGTTTGGGAACCTCCATTGTTGAAATCAGTGAGAAGCTTCTCGGTTGGAAAAGATTTAGGATCAAATACAGCGGGACGGCTTCTTGAAGTTAACACGAACATCACCGTTGTTGTTAAGAACAAGCAAAAGAAAGATATCCTGGTGATGGGAGATCCCCTCTTTTCAGCCATGGAAAATCAAAGAAAATACGTACCCAGATTTTCCCGATAATCTTTTATCGCATCTTAATTGAATCCATTGTAAACAAAAGGGTTTCAAATCACTCATGCAAGGCCGTGAATTCACGACCAAGAGTTGTCCGAATTTCTTCGGGAACACAATAAATCGGGTGACAAAAGGAAGCAACGAGTGAAGAAAAAGAAAGAACAAAATTCTCAGGAATCAAGCAAATGAGTTGAAAGAAAACCAAACCAAACAACGGGAAGTAGTTGTTGTCTTGATGGTGGTTTGAATTTTGAGATTTGTCTCACTCGCAATCAAAATTCATAGAAAATAGCAGCGCGAGAATAGGGACTTTCTCAAGAAGCGGGCTTTAGTTTTCTTTGCGCACGTAAATAAAATATAGGATAAACTACATATTTAGTACTTAAACTATTACTTTTATTCTTTTTTGGTACCTCAATTTTATTTATTTTCAAAATCATATCTAATTTTTGGATTAGATTTCAATTTGATACTCACCGTTAAAAAGTTAACATAATAGATGATGTGGTTTTTCTTTCAATGATGAAGTATCACACATGAATATTACCGTTAAATTTTTAAAATAACCCTAATTAATTTCAATTAAGTTTCGTAAACTGCCCATAATATTAGAACTAAATATCTTAATTAATTGAAAATATTAATATCAATTTTCCTAAATTGTAATTTTATGCTCAAAACAACCCTCACATCTTATGATAACTTATTTAAAATATCTTATTAATAAGACAAGACCACAAATACAGATGGAGGTATGATTTTATGTTAGGAGTGAAAAATTAAGAATTTATACTAAAATTTTAGGAAACGAAAATTTGTGAAATTACAATGGTGTAAAATTAGATTATTAATAATATATATATATATATATATAATACTTAAGTTGAATTTAAAATTTTCAAAAGGTGCGATAATATCTTAACACACTTGATTCATCTTTAACCACAAACACAAAGGGGTGTTTGACAAACAATTTTTTGAAGAACTTTTAGTTTATTTGGGCATAAATAGTTAATTGGTAATTAAACCTTCCATTTTAGTTTTTGGTAAACATCTTTTTAAAAGAGCTTATTGTGCAAAATAAGCTGAAATGAAAACGCTGGAAAATCTAACGGTTTGAAAGAGATAATTGCAAAATAAGATGTTAAATGACATATTTGACCTATTTTTCTATAATTACATCCTCACCATAAAACCTAATATAATGATATAGCTTTCATCCTAATATATTTAAGCTGAAATTTTATTTTATTATTCTATTTTCTAGTTGAAGATTCTCAAATATATTTTAGTTAAGAAAATATAGCAAAACATGAAAGTAAAAAAATGTAGTGTCGATATTTTATACAAAGTTAATAGTGTGTATCAATCTCACAAGGTTAATATTTGTGAATATTAAATTTTAAAAATATAATTAAAATTTTCAAAAATATTCACAAATTTTCTTAAGGAATTTTTAATTCACTTTCAAAAACATTTTATCCGAATAATTTCACCCCAATAAAGACTAAAGTATTATAAAACGTATATATACTTAACAACTAAATGTATCATACCCTTATTTGTCATTTTACACATATCAACTATTATCTATCAGCTAAATTTTACCAAACATTTATATATAAACAATTAATCAAATTATTTTCTCAAATCAGTTAATCAAATCAGTTGATCAAACCAGCTACTAGAATCAACTATAAGTTATTTGTCAAAACCTCAAAATAAACAAGATATATTAATATTTTCACTCAATTCAATATACAAATAAATTATTTACTATTATAATTAGTTTTTATTATAAATAACATATTATTCGGTTTTTAAAGTAGTAGCCATTACAATAACCTATAACAAAATTTAGCAATTGACACAAACAATAATGCTTAAAAAATTAATGACTATAATAATAGGTTGATGACACAGTCTCCCAAATAAATTGATATGAAATTTCCCAGGGTTAGGTTTATAAAAGTACCTAACCCGGGCAGGTGAAACTTGAGGTACAAGGCCTAACTACTCTATCTATTTTGATCTTATTTATTCATGAAAATATCAACCATACTAGACATTAATTAAAGTAGTATTAAAAATACACAATTCATAAAATAATTTAAGTAATCAGGATCTATAGATGTCCATTACCCGAATTCATTTTTAATTTATGAGAGATGACATCTAACTGCTGGTAGACTTATAAATGAACTGAACGTTTAACGAATCGTTTGACGGGAAGTTCGTTTATGTTCGTTTAATTATTAAACGAACGAACATGAACAGATGGCTCGTTCTTTCATTTACGTTCGTGAATGTTCGATAATATGTTCGTTCATTTATGTGCGGTCATTTATGTTTAGCCAAATCTCTCTAGACTCATTTAAAATATTAAAGCCCAATAAATTTAATTTGATACCTATAAATATTTTAAAATTTAAATAATTTTAAATACAAATAAAATAACTCAAAACAATTAAATAAAATATAATCCTAAAATTGTTAGGAAAGAAAAAAAAGCTATTTTTATTTATGTTTGGTTAAAGTTAAACGAACGAACATGAACATATCCCGTTCGTGTTCGTTCGGTTGGTTTATACGCATAACTGCTTTCTTTTAAATAATAATTTAATGGACTTTAGGAAACTTGAAAGAGCATCAAATGTTGGGGGTGATTTATAGGTATCCACAACAAATCTTGGGATTAGTAATTAATCCTAATTTGTTTAACTATTCATTTATTTACCAATGAGACCTTGAAAACATTATTCAACTTTTAATATATTGAATCGATCCTCGAGTTTTGATGCATTGAGCCAATTGGTTCGTTTCGATCATATTTTAAAAAGGTTAAATTATACTTTTATCAATCAACTCTAATATCACTTCTATTTTGGTCACAAAAAATTATTTTTTTAATTCAATTACTGAAAATTTAAATGACTTTTTTTAGCACTCTACCGTTAAATACTTAATATCATTGTGATCAAACATCTATCTTTAAAAAATATATAAATAATATCAAAACTTTTTTATATATTTTTTAAAAACTCTAATTTCATATTTCATTCGACTTTTGAAAGATGAAGCATCTTCTTTCGAATCTCAACAATGGGATATGTCAAGAAAAGAAACGAGCTACATATTTTAATTTCATGCTCATCACATGTGGAGATTTTAAATTACAGTGATTTTGGATATTATAAGTTATGGGTTTGAAGTTGAATTTTACGAAATTTGAAGCCGATTGGATCATATTTTTTTAAAAAAAAATTCGGGTTTGAGTCGGGTCGGATCAAGTTTTTTTAAGTGTGATATACGGGTCGGGTCAGGTCAGGTTTAAGGTGAAAATATCCTACCTGACCCGAAAATAATATATAATTTTACCTTATATATTTAAAAATAACTACAATAATACCATCTATATATATATATTTTTTCAATTAAGTCATTATTTTTATTGAATAAAAATATTTTTTTATTTCGGGTCGGGTTTCTAAGTCATATATTCAGGTCAGGTTGGGTCGGATAAAACCTTGTTTTGGTTGGGTCGAATCTCGGGTGGAGACTCTCTTGTTCTCGGATCGGGTGGACCAAAACTCGATCCAACCCGACCCATACAAATCCCTAAATGATAGCAGTCCATGTCAGAAAAATAAAAACGTCACATCACCTTGCTTTATCCGATTTAATTTCTAAATGGTCAAAATGAAAGTAATTCAAAAACTTGGGGCGAATATCCGAGAGCTTCAAGGTGTGCGCCAATGGCCTTGTTCATTGGTGGCGATCCACACCTTAGAATTTGCGGATTCCTATATCCAATTAGAGTTTCTTCTTGATGTCGAACCAGAGTTCAGGCATACCGATCGAAGACAAGAGTACATAAAGTAGGTTACTGTACCTGAATATTGTGTGCTGGTGCAGGGCAATGGGTTTGAATCATTTCCTTCGACACAATGCCAACACCACCGTTCCATACTTCAGGAGGCTGAGGAATTGACATCATTGTAATACAGTTCGTTAATGAAATGGAGATTAGCTCGATACTCGGGGGATATTATTCTTTGTTTCAACTAAAGCTTAATAGCATTATCCATCATGCTCATATTCCCATCGACTCTACTTATAAAACGAGGGGAGGATTATAACCGTGCTTTGTATTCGGATAAGGAGACGGCCAGATGAATGAAACTAACCTGGTTTAAAACATAGTAGACATTGAAGCGACCCGGATACTTGGCGGCAAGGCTATCCAACTCTTCCTGCAAATTGATGATTTCGATTTTACTTTTGATCTAATGACTTCTTAAATCACTTGCACTTCAATTCAAGTATTGTGTTTGATACGGATACATATTTGAGACGGGCATTTTTTTAATTTTTTTTTAGTTTTTCTATGTATTTTGAGTGTCATATCCTCGTACCGATGTCCTAATACGAGTCTTACACAGATGCCAAAACAGGTCCTTAAGAAAGGGTTTGGGTCAATCTTATGTTTGGACCTTAACGGCAAGATGTATTGTTCTTTTCCGGTAGGGAAGATGGAACAAACCTGCTGGTTAGTTTTCATTAACCGATAAGGAAAGCAGTAGACAGATTAATAACCAAATTGGAAATTAAAATACCTTCAAAAGAATGTCATCATTCGTGACATTCGCATAAATAATGTGTACATTTGTCGCGTCTCTTGGATTCTCCAATATGGCTCGGGCTACCTAACCCGAAACAGAAACCAGAAAAAAAATTAGGTGGGATGTGTACTTATATAAACACTTCTAAGCCTCTTAAATACTAGCAAAATAGGCACTTATCGACTTGACATACTTGGAACATTGGAGTAATACCAGAGCCTCCAGCAATCATCCCAAATGCTCGAACTTGGCCAGGTTGATACTTGAATCTCCCCTTGAAGAATGAAACAGCAACATAAAGAAATGAGAATCATATGTGAAGTATCGAGTCGAACATAATTACAAAGAGTCAAGGAAGTCAGCTAGGAAGCAAGCCTTCGATAACAAGAGTTCATTTAAATAAATGTTTATACATGGAAAAACTGACATAGGTTATTCATTTAGATAAAATAAATCAAATGTATTGTAATGTTTATGCATTCATATGAAATAAACCATATACCTTGGGTCCCTTCACAGGAAGATAATCTCCAAAATGCATCTCCCTGAAATGGTAAGCATTCTTCCTTGAGGATACATCTACGTACGAGCAATGTTTCATCATAAAGTTAGTGG